CAATGTGTCAGACAACAAAGAAGTGATCCCAATGTGTCACAGACATAAAAGAAATGATCCCAATGATTCACAGACAACAAAGAAGTGATGTCAATGTTTCACAGACAACAAAGAAGTTATCCCAATGTGTCACAGACAACAAAGAAATGATCCCAATGTGTCATACAGACAACAAAGAAGTGATCCAATGAGTCGGACAACAAAGAAGTGATCCCAATGTGTCACAGACATCAAAGAAGTGATCCCAATGTGTCACAGACAACAAAGAAGTGATCCAATGTGTCGCAGCACCTTGACATTGTCATACAACACAAAAAAGACATTCAATCCTGATAAAATCACACTGACAAACACATTTTTCATTAACTTAAGTAAAAAACAGACAAAGGTGGCTTAGGCTTTCAATAAAAATCATTAAAGAAAAAGATTCCACATCCATTTCTTCTGTCAAAAAATAATTTCTGCACTTGCAACCGTAAAATTTCTATTTTTTCAAGCAAACTTTTTATTTTAAAAATTTGAAAATTTTTGAATTGAACGGACTCAAGAAAAGACAGTCAGTAGATATAATGTGGACACTTATAAACCATAAGTCACAGATAAACAGACAGACAGACAAGTAAAATGATAATGGGCAAATAACAGTCCACAATCACCACCAAGGAAACTAAATACCAAGCAAAATGCACCACATCAAAAACAGTGGGTGAACAGAGGAACTTGTGATTATATTTATGATAAATGTAACTCAACTGCAACACAAATCATGTTGAGTAGACATTTTCTTTGAAATATTCAATAGACACTAATTTTCAAATTTATTTCTGATATTACTGATGTAAACTGCTGACTTTAAGTTCATTAATTTTTATGAGACATTTAGATGTAGCACTAACTGTGATTGTTTGTATTCTTTGTATTTCAAAAGGACATAACTTCCCAGTAAAAAATTGATGATCTCTGATGTTTAAACTCATCTGAGATATTACTTGTAGGAATAAACCTTTTTCATTAAATTTCAATGTTAACTGAGGGGGCAATAAAAAATCATGAATTGAAGCAAAAAACAGACAAAACAAAGTGCAAAACACTCAGACTCTGTATGTTAGAGAACCTGATAAGCAAACCCTCAGAGGGTCCATAAGTAACTAGTTAAATAGCTACAATTGTAAATTTCTTACACTGCCTAATAGGCCGTTTTTCCATTGAAATTCAAACTTATTTGTCTGGTTTAATAACATTTCAAATCCTGTAAACTGTTCTATTGATAACACTTTCTTTATCTGAATATGAATAAAATAAAGGCAACAGTATATAAGCAACAACCATCAGGAAATGCTGCAGGAATGAACACATTTTACCTTGGTTACAGTAATTACACTAGAAAAACAAAGGTTCAGGTGATTTATTTAAAAATCACTCTGAGTGGTGATTTTTTCACAGTGAATGCTGGTAATTATAGGTGATTCACTCTGAAATATCTCTCTGTATATTTATTTGGTGTTACCTGAAAGGATATTAACCAGAGTGTTATCACCTATTTCACAGTGACTCACTCAAAAGCTGAAAGAGTATTTTTTATCGAATCGCTTTTTATGTGTGTGTGCTGTACTTTATAGTCATATGACTTCCAATTTGAGTATACATATAAACAACATATGATATAACTTTCAGTAAGAACAACATGTCTCTCTGGAATAACCTTCATCAACATTATGGGATGCAAAAATGCAAAAAAATCTAAAAACAAAATCAAACAGAATGGTGTCTAATGGTTTATGAATGTAATGGACAAATTTAACAAAATGTTAAATTTGGAGAAAAATTTAGAGAAACAGAAATTTAAAATTTGATAATGTTCTGAATGTCATCCTATGCTAGTCCTACAACAATGCTCGTAATGTAACTTTGAATTAACAATTGCCAACAAATCTCTGAATTTGTGCATTATCACGACATCAAAAGCAACAGTTTGGGTTTAGTGGTAGTACTTCGCTTGTGTTAATTATAGAAAGACGTGTGTATATTTCAAACTCTGTTTACTATACTGACTAGAGACGTTATGCATACAATAAGCGTAATTTAATGATATGACGTTACAATACGTTACGTTATCAATTAGAGTTGCATAAGTAAGTGTCTCTATATTGCGGTTAATTCGTAATACTCCGGCCGCAGGAAAGTGAAAAAGAAAAAACTTAAATAAAATCAAAATTTCAAACATTCACATTAAATTTAGATCACTTTAGAGTCCATGTTTTAAAACGAATAACTTCTTTAAAGTTCATATATAAAGAAATTAAGTTTACTGAACAGTCTCTATGTAAATCACAAACATGAAATTACAATGTCCATTTGTCTTCCTTTGATCGTCGAAATTTGGTAGCCTTTTCGATTTGTAAATGTTCATTAGAAACTTCAAGTCAATGCGTATATTTGATCAATCGGATGATTTGCAAAGCCGTTTTTTCCTTGATCGGCTACTATATAATTTCTGTATTTCTGGTTCCCTGTTCAGTTTACTGATAATTCTCGATGTTCTGTTCTTGATTACGTTAAAGGTCCTCGGTAGGTCAGGCAAATTCTCTTTACATTGTAATTGTGTTTTCAAGTGATTGTCGCGATGTGATAGAGTTGACTCGTATGTCTCGTAGTAGTGTTTGTCCTTTTTTGTAGATTCATCATGCGTTACTCCAGTAGAGTCCAATTTCCAAAATAGCTCCAGATATTCCCCTTCCTTCTTGTGTTGTACCAATACATTCAACGTAGTAGCTGGTATTATTGATTCTTCTATTATTGGCATTGGTCCAGACAATAAATGTCCCAGTTTTGACTTAACTGCAGTGGGACCCATTCCTCGTAGTATATTGTTTTCGACGATGTCCTAGTAGTAATCTGCTCCAATTAACATAGCTATATTAAAATGTTCATCCTTACTCATAGGATGGGCCAATTTTATACCTTGAAGATATGACAACTTTAACGCTTCGTAATGGGGACGATTTGATAGCGGTGCGGCGATTGTTGCTACTATGAGTACTTCCATTGATAATTTACCTCCATGTATAGTCTCCAAATGAACAACGGCTTTTTCTAGGTCTCTTACATTACTATTAGTTTCTCCAAAGGCAGCAAGACTGAGTGTACTCATTCCACAGGGTTTTAATTGTAACTGTTTTGTAGATCCTCCGTTATAAAAGATTGTTGTGACCCTTCGTCTTAAAGAATATTTGTTACAGTGGAATTATTGCCTACTGAAACTTGTGATACTGCTGTCTTTAAGAGTACGTCGGTTCTCTGTTTCACAGGATTTTCATACGATGTGTAAACTGTAGCTGTGTGTGTTTCTACTTCACTATTCATACTATTTACGGCTGCGCTTGTTTGTCTGGTTGTTTGGTTCTCAGTGTGTTGTTTCTTATGACATAAGCTAGTGTGATGCTTTCTGTTGCATTTTCGACATGTATATTTAGACGTACACTCTGAAATTTTGTGACTTCCAAAGCAGTTAAAACAAAGATTTTTCTGTTTGATAAACGCATAGCACTTTTCATTCGTTGCTACTTTTGTGCACTCAGATGCAAAATGTGGTTCTTGGCAAAACACGCATAATTTTACCTTATTTTTTTTGTTCTTATTTCCTCCGTTCTGTTGTATACTAGTGATGTACCTTGGTGTTGCTGCAATACGGAATGATGCGGTAGGTGTCAAAGTGTCGGACATTTTGAAATTTCCTGCTTCCTGTACATATGCTTCTTTGCCAATGGCTTCTCTCAATGATCTAATATCCCAGCTATTATTACAATGTTCCCGAGTTAGGCTTTTACGCATTTCAGTGGGAAGTTTACCAAATATAATCGGTACAAGTAGTGACCCAAAGGTATCTTGAGATTGTCCCATTGACTCTAATCCCTGTATACTGGTTTCCATTTTATCGTAAAAGTAACTAATGTTTGTTGGTGAGAGTGACGGGCTGGGCAGTTCCAACAAGTTTTGCATGTATGCATTGATAATGTGTTGTTTTTGTCCAAAATGCTCCTTTAATAGATGAATTGCTTGTTCATAGTTGGCGCTAGTGAGAGCTAGTCCTGAAATGCATTGCTCAGCTTCCTGAACGATTTGGGATTTTGAGTAGCTGAATTTCTGTACATTCGTGAGAGACGGATTTGTGTGTACTGTTGTTTGGAAAGAATCCCAGAAGGTTTGCCATGCTAAGATATCCCCAGAAAATGTCGGTAATTCAAGTTCAGGTAGCCTGTGATAAAAGTTTGACGGGATTACGGAAATATGTTGTGACGGGTTTGTTTCTAAATCTTCATGAGTTTCATTACAATTCTGATTGAGTATAGTATTAGTAGTGTGATGCGATGAAGAATGTGCATAATCACTCACCATTTGTTGTGGCACACTTGCCTTTGAGTTTGACAGTATATCCTTAAATTTGCGAATGGTGATTTCCATCTGAAAAGTGTAGTCATCCGTATCCAATATTTCTTGTTCCATTTCTCCGACATCTGTAATGTCTATAATCTTGTTGTCCAAATCCTGTAAAACGTCCCTTTTCTTCTCGAGTGTTTCAACTGTTGCACATAGTTCCTGGTTAGAAATGGTATTTTCAGCAATTTTTTCATCTGTTCTATTTATAAGTCTGGTGACGGCGCTTCTGTGTCCGCCACGTATAGCTTTTATCTTCTCCATAGGTCACGGCACCAATGTTTGGGTTTAGTGGTAGTACTTCGCTTGTGTTAATTATAGAAAGACGTGTGTATATTTCAAACTCTGTTTACTATACTGACTAGAGACGTTATGCATACAATAAGCATAATTTAATGATAGCAACATTACAGAAATCAAATTTAATTTAACTTTTTTAAACTGACCTACAAAAATAAATTACGCAACACTGAAAAAAATTCTTCAGAGAGAAAGCTTTAAAAATAGCTTCTATTATCCCTGGTCCTTTTATAGAAATGTGTATACATATTAAAAAGGTGAATTACCATGTTTCAATTTTTCAGACATATGAGGTATTTTACAGCAACCAATTACTTTTACAACCCCAGTTCCATCATCTACCAACATCATGTCTGAGTCATTAGATACCTTTAAGAAAAAAAGAAATGTTGTTGTATACATTCATGGATACATTGCAAATATGAAAGAGAAAATACATTCAATTAATTCCATGTTAATAGTTTTTACACATTTATTTTATCAATAAAATTTTTCAAAAGGGTTCCCTCTAGCTTGTGATTGCTGCTGTCAGCATAAAAGGGTAATGTTGACTGCCAAAAGCCAAGTCCATTTTTCATTTAGATACAGGGGAAAAAAGTAAACTTTTTCTTTGGATGCTATTTTTTTTATAATGAATAACTTTGTGTCCAAATTTTGTAACATTCTATGAATATTTGACAAAGTAATTGATGTCTAAAAAAAGTACAGATTGAATCTTAATGTTGATCAGTCTGACAATGTAGAATGGCCATGTCTCACTTTCAGGTCAGACAAAAAGCTCATGTTGATTATGTTCTCTAATTATTTAAGCATTTAATTCATTAAGTACCAAATTGTTCAGATTTTCAAATGGATTTGTCTATATTTTCACAACACAAAAGATGACTTTCTTGGATTTAAAGTGCTCTAATAAAAACCTCAAATTGTGTTTTTGAACCCACTAGACATGATTGTTTTTCCAGTGTTGTCTCTTTCAACTCTTTTGACAATAATGTCCTGAAACCCACACAATAAGAATTTTACAAGTATGGCATTGTCAGCTTCATCCTGTGTAATACTAAGGATTCATATTTATATAAACCATGCAAGGAACCCCCAAAACTGTGTATTGTATTTGTTTTGTTCCTGCGATTTTACGTGAGGTCATGTTCCAGAAATTCACACAATATTGAATGTTGTTGATGTACTGGTTTTTCACAGTCAACTAACCTGAAGTACTGTTCCCTGAACCCACACAACACTAAATGTTCTTCCCTTAGACTGCCATTCCTTTATACTTTTCTGTTGATTTTCTGTGCTACTTGCTACACATTTCACTGCTTGTTGCAAGTCTTTTATAAAAATCTTTTTTGATGGCAAATCCAATATTTTTGACATTCTATGGTTCTGTGTCTACATATCTGAAGAGACAAAAAAATATCTTATATAAATAAGAAGATGTGGTATGAGTGCCAATGAGACAACTATCCATCCAAGTCACAATGTGTAAAAAGTAAATAATTATAGGTCAAAGTACGGCCTTCAACATGGAGCCTTGGCTCACACCGAACAGCAAGCTATAAAGGTCCCCAAAATGACCAGTGTAAAACAATTCAAACAGGAAAACCAACGGTCTAATCTATATAAAAAACGAGAAACACTTATGAACCACACCAACAAATGACAACCACTGAACAACAGGCTTCTGACTTAGAACAGGTGCATAAAAATGCAGCGGGTTTAAACGTTTTAACAGGCGCCAACCTTCACCCTAACCTTAACATTTTAATAATATATAAATGTTCACAGATTAACCTCGGACATTATTATTATTATACATGTAAACTGTAAATGTCTTTTATCATCAATTTTCATGGATTGCCGAATAATTGTATTCTCTTGGAAATTTGTTTTGCTGTTTTGCCTAATTTCTGCACACAATCCTACAGAAAATTTGTACTTCGTTTAACATTTAAATTTGTGGTTAATTTATACCCCACTAATAATAATGATATGTTTGGTCATCAACTTGTGCTAGCACTTTTTGAATCTGTAGGACACCTTTTTCCTAATTGCTGATACTTTGAATGAACTTGAAATTTTACTCACACATTTCTCCAGTACTAAAAAACAGAATTACTTCATATTTAGTCAGCAGCTTGACAGTGTGAAGTTGTTACATAAAAACCTTTTTTTGATCCGTAAGACATTTACTTCCTATTTTCTGATATTTTGAATTACAAATGGGGTATGCTTTATATATTATATTATACATGACAACACATGCTTTTTTGTTATCTTTTGTTTTATACAAGATTTTTTGTACAAAGCAATTCTTTTGAAGTAAATCGCCTCTTTTTCCAATATCTCTTATATTTTACTACTTATTGTAGAAAGATTCAAAGTGTTTCAGATCAAATCTTTCAAACAAAATAGAAGTACAAATAGAAATATTTTTCCAAATTGTTGTTATTTTAATACACATATATTGATAACATAAGCAGCATGAATGATTGTAATTAAAAGTACAAAGACAAAAAAATGAATGATTATAATTAAACATAAAAAGACAAAAGATGAATGATTATAATTAAACATAAAGTAAATAGAACGTCTTCAATTTTAAACACTGTTAGGAGTCACCCTAGGGGAGACAATTTAATTCAAATTTTAATAAACATTTAGAGTTATCTCCCATTATATATTAGCCCTCTCTTTTCTTTTTCATTATTAAAGAAGGTAAATGTGGGTAAATATTATGAAAATATATATGTATATATCTAATATTTTTGTCTGTCAATAAATGAAAATGACATTTTTATACAGTACATTTTACTTAAAACTGGTAAATCTAGAATTTCCCATAATGCCAGAAAACTAGTTAATGAATTTTGAATACTGGGTCACTATACAGTAGCACTAATTTTGTAGGCTAGTAAAGTTTGCATATGTTTTATAGGTAATAATAATTAAATAACTATATCAAGAATCTATATCAAGTTTAACTGTTCATTAAATTTACTTATTTTCAGGGGGGAGAGTTTCTTTCTCTATAAAAAATAAAATAACAAAACCAAACCCCAAGGAAAATTCAAAGCGGAAGTTCCCTTATCAAATGGCAAAATCAAAAGCTCAAACACATCAAACGAATGGAAAACAACTGTCCTATTCCTGACTTGGTACAGGCATTTTCTTATGTAGAAAATGGTGGATTAAATCTGGTTTTATAGCTAGCTAAACCTCTCACTTGTAAAGGATAACATAGTTGTGCAGCTTCTGCTTGTATTGGTTTCTTATTTAGAATGTCAAAATATATCAATGGGCTGCAATTTAATGGTGGTATTATAATAAAGGGTAGAGAATTTAAATCCCAATGAGTCATAAATGTCCATCTTCTGTTATTTAAAGATTCCTGAAAAAAATGTGTACTTATCTTTTAATCTAATAATAAGAATGATCCCATGCAGTTAACATCTAATAAAATAGCACATATTGTATGTCTGATATATGTTAGAAATGTATAAAATGGGTTATGATTTTTCTTTGAAAAATATGTATGGTAGGGAATTTCACAAAAATCAATAGTTGAATAGCGGGTGTTTTTAAACTCCAGCCCGATGTCTGTACCCAAATTTGAATGTTGAGATCCCCCAGTGCTTATTCTATTGTGTCTAGTCTCAATTGAAACTAATTTTGTAAGTAAATATCTACCGAATTTTTCTGATATATTTTCGTCCACAGCTGTCATAAACGATACAAATTTCGATCGGTATTCTATATATTTGACGTTTTAAGCTAGTTTAAATAACCAGCACTCAGAACTGTAATAAAAGAAAAATTTCAGTTGAACATCAATTTTTGATGACAGAGATTATAGTCAGCTGACAATTAGAGATTTTCATGTATGTTTAAATAGTAGCGGTACCACTTATTTTAATTCAAAGATGAAAACATAACACATTTCCAATCAAGAAATATAACAACTTTTAAAATCTCATTTATCAAAACTAATTTGTTAACTTAAAAAATAATTCATGAAGCAAGAACACAAATGAAGAAAGAAAGTGATTTTGTTATTGCTTTTTAACGACTTACATAAAATATATATGGTTCTGATTTCATTGTTGAAAAAAAATATCTAGGTACGTTTTTTAATATACGTATATACAATTAATGTTGACATGACTGTGTCATTGTTAATTTAACAGTGCTTTAAATTAAAATGTTTAAGGTAGGGGGCTCAAAATAAGGGTTGGCAGGAAAATGGAAAGCAAAAAATTCATTTTGTTTGACCTTTTACTCATTGCAGATAATTAATTATCCTTTTCCAACTAACATAAGTGAATCGAAAATAAAGCCAAGTAGGCTTGTCACACACATCTGCTATATAACATGGTGGGTAATTGGGTATTCATGTACATGTATATGTCATATCAAACGAAATATTTGGCACAAAACTTTCAGGGACCCAGTCATAGGCAAGACATTTCATTTCAAGTTTAGATGAAAATTTTAGACCAAGACTGCAATAATGTGTGTGCTGAGACTTCAATTTCTCAAGAGATAAGTCATTATCGATTTCAAGTATCAAACAGCGTCTTCTGTACTGATACAGCTGTGATATAAAAGTGTATTTTGTACACAAAGCTAAGTTAAAATAATATATTTCTGTAGCAGTCAGCAATCATACATCCAATTCAGCAATTGTACCCACTTTAACCTAACCATGGATGGGTATTATAACAAGTGTTTAAATAAAGTAAGATAAAAAAAACTAGAGGCTCTCAAGAGCCTGTGTTGCTCACCTGATTCTACTTGGGTTTTGGAAATCATGTAAAAATGGATTAAAATCATAACAGATACCCTATTAATGATTGAGGCCAAATTTGGTTTAATATTGGCCCCGTAATTTAATAAAAAATCCTGCTGGCCATCTTGAACAGTAAATCGGCAACGAAGTAGCAACACTTCATCAGCACCTCATAAGGAACATTTATGCCATGTTTGGTTTCATTCCATTCAGTGCACCTCTAGAAGAAGCATTTGTATGTATTTTCCAAAGGGTCTTATGTTTAACTCAGGGAGCTACCATTTGATTTTTATGGGGGGGGGGGGGGGCTAGATGAAATTTGAAAAAAAAGGGCAGGACAGGAGTTTTGAGTAAAAAAAGAGGCAGGATGAGCAACTTTGCAAAAAACAAAAAGGCAGGATGACAATTTATGTATAAAAAGTCAGGATAAACTAATAAAAAAAATTTGTAAGGGTTCCGCGGAACCCAGTGTCTCGCCTACTTTTGCTGTTAATTGCAGGCTCAACAAAAATGAGGAAAAAAATCAATAAAAATATTCCTTTAGATACTATCTTTTGATTGTAAGAAGCTTCTGTCAAAGTTTGGTATAAATCCAGGATAGTTTATGAATCTAATAAATGTTTTAAAAACTTTAACTGCAGACTGTATTTAATGTTAACTGGAAGAAAAACTAAGTCCATTTATAAGTAAAATACGGATAAACAGGTACAAATTTTAACAAAATTTCCTTCTAGATACTAGCTTTTGATCATAAACAAGCTTCTGTTCAAAATTTGGTACAAATCCAGGATAGTTTAAGAAAGTTATTAAAATTTTAAAAACTTTAACCACAGAGTGAATGTATTGTTTCCTGGCAGAAAAACTAAGTCCATTTATAAGTAAAATACGGAAAAAATGAAATTTTTTTTTTAACAAATTTACTTCTGGATACTATCTTATGATCATAAACAAGCTTTTGTCCAAGTTAGGTACAAATCCAGGATAGTTTAAGAAAGTTATTAAAATTTTAAAAACTTTAACCACAGAGTGAATGTATTGTTTCCTAGCAGAAAAACTAAGTCCATTTATAAGTAATATACGGAAAAAATGAAATTTTTTTTTTAACAAATTTACTTCTGGATATTATCTTATGATCATAAACAAGCTTCTGTCCAAGTTTGGTACAAATCCAGGATAGTTTAAGAAAGTTATTAAAATTTTAAAAACATTAACCACAGAGTGAATGTTATGTTAACTGGCAGAAAAACTAAGTCCATTTACAAGTAAAATACGGAAAAACAGGAATTTTATTTTTACAAAATTTACTTCTGGATACTTTCTTATGATCATAAACAAGCTTCTGTCCAAGTTTGGTAGAAATCCAGGATAGTTTAAGAAAGTTATTAAAATTTCAAAAACTTTAACCACAGAGTGAATATTTGTGGACGCCGCCGTCGACGCCGACGGAATGTAGGATCGCTATGTCTCACTTTTTCGACTAAAGTCGAAGGCTCGACAAAAAGGAAGGACTGAATAGAGTGAAAAATAAAAAGGCAGGACAGAGATTACAACTAAAAACTACAGGCTCCCAAGAGCATGTGTCGCTCACCTGATTCTACTTTGGTTTTGGAAATCATGCAAAAATAGATTAAAATCATAACAGATACCCTAATAATGATTGAGGCCAAATTTGGTTTAATCAAAAGCAGAAGACTTTTGTAAAGTTTACAGAAATTACCAATAAATTCATTGAAATTGTAGAAAATGACTTTATAAGGACAAAGACAAATCAGCTTCAAAGTAACAACACTTGGTCACACCTCAAAAGAAACATTCATACCATGTTTGGTTTCAATCCATTAAGCAGTTTTCTAGAAGAAGACATTTGTATATATTTCCCATAGAGTCCTTTGTTAAACTAAGTCCTCCGCTGGCAGCCTTCTTGGATGATGGATCACCTACAAAGTTACAACACTTGGTCAGCACCTCATAAGGTACATTCATGCCATGTTTTATTTCATTCCATTTAGTGGTTCTCTAAAAGAAGACATTTGTATGTATTTCTCATAGGGTCCTATATTAAACTAAGTCCCCCTCTGGTGGCCATCTTGGATGATGGATCGGCTTCGAAGTAACAAAACTTGGTCAGCACCTCATAAGGAACATTCATGCCATGTTTGGTTTCATTCCATTCAGTGGTTCTCTAAAAGAAGACATTTGTATGTATTATCCATAGGGTCCTATGTTAAACGAAATCCCCCACTGTCGGTCATCTTGGATGATGGATCAGCTTCAAAGTAACAACACTTGGTCAGCACCTAATAAGGAACATTCATGACATGTTTGGTTTCATTCCATTCAGTGGTTCTCTAGAAGAAGTTCAATATGTAAAAAGTTAACGACTACGACGGACGCCAAGAGATGAGAAAAGCTCACTTGGCCCTTCAGGCCAGGTGAGCTAAAAAACTGTAGTAATAGTTGATTGGCATTCATTACTTTTGTTTTAACATTCTATTTTTACTTCAAAACAATAAAAATCATGTAGCTGATGCATGACAGGTGTGAATATGTGTGTACTAATTTACAGAAATTTCATACATTTAGTTGTATGACAAAGGTACAGCATGGTTGTTAAATGCAGCCAGTATAGAATTATTTTACTGTGAAAACAGGTCCATGTAGCTATTTCTAACCAATATTGGGAACTTAGAGAATTAAATATAAATTTCACAGTTATGTACCTCCATATACACAATGGCTTTTAAGTAAGATCTGAAGTTATCTCTTTATTACAATTTTTTATTCAAGACTAAGTTCAAAATAAATAAAATAATAAAATGAATGCACATAAATTCTTTTTTGCTTAGATTATCATTTCCATTAATTTTAATAAGAGTTTAAATGAACTGTCTTATAAACGGCAATATAACAAAGGGAGATCTGTGTAAACTTAGTAAAAGATTCAGAAATAAACTTCATAGGCATACAATACAAATCAAAATTAATTCATATATAATAAATATTTTATTTTTCATTTCTTTGATCTAAAATAACCATAGCAGCTTCAACTGAGTAGAAAAATGGCGGGTTGGCTTTCAAATAAAATGAATCTATTTATCATGGCCAAAATTTATACACCAGTCGACAGGATAATCACTTCAGATTTCAAATTCTTTAATAGAAAGGTAAATCCTTAAATATTGAATTTAACCCAAACTTTGCAAAAAATTGACTCAATCCGTCATGAATTCAGTATATTAATACATTTAATAAAAATTCAAAAGACAAAACATATACTAGAATATTAAAGCTTTTTTCTTCAAGACAAAATGTTGGACTGTCTACTTTGTTTGCAAATCTTCCAAAGTTGCAGAAATCACAATTTTTCTGAATTATTTTCATACTATTTGACTGGGAATAACAAGAAGATACTTATCTCTGATTGATACTAGTCTCAGTTTCAGGCCTGTAATGAACAGAGTTCATACAATTTGACTGAGAATAACAAAAAGATACTTATCTCTGATTGATACTAGTCTCAGGTTCAGACCTGTATTGAACAGAGTTATTAAGTCACAACTGGAGATTTTACGATTTTCAGATGGAGTTTTGGACTTCATAACTGGATATATTTTTATGGATATTTATGGTATTCATTTCAATAATAAAACTACGTATTTCCCATTTTTTAATATAAGAATATTACAATGATTAATGTATTGCCTTAAAAACCAGATATTGATGTAAATATAAAAATAAGAAGATGTGGTATGATTGCCAAAGAGACAACTCTTCAAAAGAGACCAAATGACACAGAAATTAACAACTTTAGGTCCCCGTAAGGCCTTTAACAATGAGCAAAGCCCATACCACATAGTCAGCTATAAAAGGCCCCGAAATGACAAATGTAAAACAATTCAAACGAGAAAACTAACAGCCTGATTTATGTACAAAATAATGAACGAAAAACAAATATGATATACCGCAACAAATGACAACCACTGAATTACAGGCTCCTGACTTGGGACAGGCACATACAGAATGTGACGGGGTTAAACATGTTTGATGGGCGCCCAACCCTCCCTCCAACCTGGGACAGTGATGAAACAGCACAATGTTTGTTCTGCCCAACTGCTTTGATCTCATTTTGACTTAAAAAAATTAGTTTTCAAACATTGATGATAAATAAGAAGTTATAAAAGTTTATAAGTAAACAATTTGTGTACACAGTAGTAAATTTCACTATATCTTGTCCACTGAATCTGGGTCCGTTCGCCCCAAAACACGTTCGCTCCCATTCATGTTTGCCCCCTTTCACGTTCGCACCCCAGGTCCGTTTGCACACTTTTTATTGGTTTTGTGTTCAATAATTTTTCAATTGTTTTTTGGTTAGTGTATTGCTATACATATTTTTTGTTCATTGTTTCAAAATGAAGTGACTTTCTTAAAACGATTTTTGTGTTGAATAATTTTTTAATCTAATTTTGGTTATTGTATTGCTTTAAATAAGTTTTTTTGCATTGTTTCAAATAAAATGATGTTTTTTTGTGTTGAATATTTTTTTAATCGTGTACTGTTTTGGTTAGTGTATTGCTATAAAAAAAATTTCATTGTTTCAACAAGGATTTGACTATACAAATCCTTGGTTTCAAAATAAAGTGACTTTCAAAAAAGGTTTTTTGTGTTGAATATTTTTTTTAGGTTTATATACAAATCCTTGGAAATACCAAACCGCTATTAAACTTAACAACAATAACATTTTGAGTCTTCATTGTTTTTTACTCATACCAAGCTAAATACATGCTAACTACATGCAGAATTTAATCAAAACTAGTTAAAACAACAATCATGATTTTCAAACATATAACAATAACAGCAAGTTTAGCTGTGTAAACACCATATTAACAGTAATAATACATAATTAACATATAATAGCAGGAACGAAAAAAAATGCTCATAAAAATCCAAAAAAGATTTTCTTTTTCTGAAACAAAAAATGTATTTAACTTTTGAGGGGGGGTAGGACCTTTATCGGGACTCCGGGATCGGGTGTTTTTAAGCTCGGGATTACGGGATTGATCCTTTCGGGATCTGGGAATTCTTTTTTCGAATTTCGGGATGTCGTGATTTAAATTTTTTAAATTCGGGACCTCTGGATTCCATGTTTTTAAGCCCGGGATTTCGGGATCAGGACCCCTCCTACCCCCCTCTACTTTTATATATCTAATGTGCCAGGCCTTAAAACTCTTCAAATTGCACATGTATGTTAGTCTGTACTCAGAGTAGATTTTGAGGTCTAAACAGCCATTTTTGTCCATTCGTTATATGATGAACCTTAATTTTTTCACGTTGATATTTTATAGATGAACCAAGGATTTGTATAGTGAGATCTCACTATACAAATCCTTGGATGAACTATGAAAGATTATATTTAGTCTCACCAAGGATTTGTATAGAAATCCTTGGTCTTATAACCGCATTTTCTGCTTTGATGTGAACTTAACATTCAAAATGAGATTTACATGAACTATGTGTTCACTCAGATAATTACATGTACCATACTACGGGAAAGAGAACGAAAAATCAAAAAAAAAAATCAGGGTAAATATAAGTAATGGGGAATGGAATCAATATTATGGTACTTCCGGTTAAAGATGGTTGAGGCTGGCTCGTTTTTCCATCATGACATCATGAGTCCCCCATCAGTGTTTACATAATCTGTTAATATACCATTGATTATTTATTCACCCCTGTAGTGGCAACCAAATGATTTTATGATTAATCACACAGCGAAGACAGTTGAAGGATAATAAGCTAACAATGTATGTAACATTTTTTTTCTATTTCGAAACAATGAAAGATTATAAATTGCCGAATAATTTCCCTGTTGGGATATTGAGGTTAGGGATGTATTTCTGATTTGGCTTCCTACCGAATGACTTTGTTACAACGTTGAGTATACACAATTTTCATGATTTGCAAACCTGAACAAAGGAGCACTGGTTTCTTCCTGCCAATCCTGGGAACAGTCAATATATATGTTCCTGCTTCTTCTTATAGTTATACAAACAGCTCCATCAAGTAGGCTGATTATTAAATGCTATTGCATGCATGTCCTATGTACAAAAATTAATCAACATAAATGTTAGTAAAAATATGGAAATTCAGTGCAACATTGTACAAATTTTTTGATAAGAGTGCAGATTGCAAAAATACATAAATATATTGGAACATTCTTAGAAATGTGTAAAAAGTGATCCAATGGTAATTTTGAATAATTTAATAAAAAGGTTCTACTCTAGGCTTTTGAAGAGACTTGCCTCAAGATTGGAAACTGTTTATTTGTAATTGCTTGCAGCTCCTACTCAGACTTTTTAAATGTCACCAGTGTCTGAGCAGAAAGTTGATGAACCAGGGGTATGTCAAAGAACGTCTCGTCCTTTTTCTAAAAGAGTTCATCAGAAGGTACCAAGACCTTGTTGATAAATATTCCGTATCAACTTCACAAATGATACACAATGGTCTTGAAGTATAGATTCTGCGTGCTGACGTTGTTTATCATCTTAATAACGTGTTATAGTATTCTCTTATTTGTCTTTATTAATATTACTTTTATGGTTAAGTCTGTTTTTTGTGATATCCACTTGATGTGACTCTGTACTTATGTATCCCGTCATACTTTGAACGACAAAATTATTTTATTTTATTAATATTACTTTTACTGTTAAGTCTGTTTTTTGTGATATCCATTTGACATGACTCTGTACTTATGTATCCCGACCCCGTCATACTTTGAACGACAAAATTATTTTATATCTACCTGTGTGACGTCAAATGCACGATTCTACGCCAGTACTTAAAACCTTCCATCCTTTACTGGTGGATTTTACATAGATAAATAAAATTATATAATAAAAAAGCAAAATGAGGATGTTAATTTTGATGTATGCCTTTTTGTGCTTCTTTGTTACATTTCTTTGTTTTTATAGTGATTAAGATGATAACACAATGTTGACTGCTGTACCCCTATTTTTGACATTTTTACCTATTGTGTCTGTTTGTTTTGTTCACGCATTGTTGTCAAATGTATAATCGAATTTGATGCGACTTTCATACAAGTGAGAGGTTTAGCTAGTTATAAAACCAGGTTCAATCCACCATTTTCTACATAAGAAAATGCCCGTTTCAAGTCAGGAATATGACAGTTGTTATCCATTCGTTTGATGCGTTTGAGCTTTTGATTTTGCCATTTCATTAGGTACTTTCCTTTTTGAATTTTCCTCGGAGTTCAGTATTTTTGTGATTTTACTTTTTTGGACCAGTATTTCATTTACATTCAAAAAGATTTTAAAGTTAATTTGACAGAACAGTTTTTATTTTGACTTGACCACTAAGTGGATGAATGCAGATCTTAATTGAAAAACATATTGTATTAAGTATTTGGCACTAAATTTTAGTAGGTACAATGTAGCAGCTAAATAAAATTTTGTGAGGTTTTGTAATAGAATGTTACTTAAGGTCCATAGTGGCATATGTGTAGTGTGGCCACAATGCAGGACATATACCATAATGGTTCCATTGATCAGATTGAAAACTCCTTTTTATTCAACAATGGCACTTATGTCCTCAAGCTCCTTTTTGAAATAACTTTGGCCTGTTTTTATACAAAAAGTGAAAGGATTAATTTACCATGATATGTAACAGTAAAAATCCTAAAATTAAACCATGTTTGTAATGCATCAACAAAATTTGACCTCTTGAACTGAAGTGTGTGTAGAACAACCCCTTTATCAATAAAAATAACACTTTAAAGTAGAAGGATAAAGGTTTGAAAGTAATAAATATTTTATGAAAAATATATTTTTTGTATGATTAATTTTAGAACTGAGCTGTAAATACATGTAGTGCATGGCAATATGTTTAGTCCAAGTAGTACATGCATGGCAATATGTTTACCAGATAGTTCATGGCAATATGTTTGCCAGGCAATGCATGGGAATAAGTTTAACAGGTTTATGAATGCATGGTAGAGATGATGTCAGTGGATTTAAGAGTACACAATAATGCATGCAGTTTTTTTTCCCATCAAGGTAAATATTGATAGGTAGATATAATAACATTTTACGGTCACTAACATTGCTTTTTAATTTTAGGGGCAGGAGAAATCCCTTTAAGATCACCACCTGTTTTAAGTTACGTATGTGTTTATCAATCTTTAGTTTTCTGTACTGTTCATGGTGTTGTCTGTTTTTTTTAAGCTGCGTTTTTTTTATTACTCCTTGCCATCAAAAAAAATTATGAATTGAAATTTTTTCTGTAATTTTCATTTTTATTTTTTGCATGTCATGTGCTTTACTCAATGAAGTAAAACCATTTAGGAAGGGTAAAAAATAAAAAAATTTAATTGATTAAGTTGTAAAATTGAACAAAAAAAAAACTACTGTCATTTAACAAATATGGTGACAGATTGTTCATTTATAAAATCAGATTGAAAATTTTTGTTTTACATTTATTTTTATTTATTGATGACATATACATGATATATATATATATACAGAGATTCTAACATGACGTTCTTCAAACGCTTTGAGTACACACCCGTGGTAAAATATGAATATATTGTTTGGGCTGTTCCGATCGTACTCCCGCGTCATATGCTTTTTTGTGAATGAGCTACCCGACGTCATAGAACGATGACGTAAGAATATAAGCATTTTACGGGAAAATACACGCTTGTGAAACCGAAAATCATCACAACAAGGAAACGTAAACAAACGATGCTAAAATGTGTTATATAAGCCTTTTTTGTATACATATAAGACATATAAGTACAATTATCATTTAGATTCATCCAAACCTATCTAAATATGCTATTGTAAATAGTTTAAGCATGTCATTTATTCAGTTTGCTCCGGTCTTTTACGTCAATTTAATAGTGCGTTTATTTATGGGAACGGCAAATAATGCCTTCATCTAGAGTGCTTCGATCCAAAACAATTGTCGTATTTGTCCTATTAGAATTGAAATAATTCATGGGGGCTTGAATATATCGTGATTTTACCACGGGTTGTCCCTTTATGCCGATATTTTACCCCTCGCTATCGCTCAGGGTAAAATATTTGTCATAAAGGGCCAACCCGTGGTAAAATCACAATATATTCAAGCCCCCATGAATTATTTCTTAATTTTATTAAAAATATTTAAAAAAATCTTTTTTATAGACCATATTTAGGTTTAAACTTAATTTTGCATGATCAAGCATGATGAGATGGGAAACTATTGAAATGCAAATCAAAGGCCATAAAACATTCAGTGGTGATTTATGAAGTTTCTTCGGGTGTTAGTTGTTCACTGTGTGGGCAATTAAGTCAGACTAGGATAATACTACTGTGACGAATAAAAGGAGAAGTTGGGTATGCATCAATGAGACAGCAAACAAACAACACAAATAACAAAAAGTTATCTATATTGACTCCATAAATTTTTCACATTTAAGTTAGGAACTTAGGATAGTAAGAGAATGTGAATATTGATCAATATAAACTTGATAAATGAAGAGTTTAATATTGCGGATTCATTTATTTTCGTGGATACCAATTTTCGTGGATTGAGGAAACTTGCATTATCGTGGATATTTGATTTCCTGGTTTTGCCAAGGTCTCCATACAAGCCTATATAAAATTTGTCATTGGTTGAACATTGAAATTCCTGGTTCATCTGTACCCACGAAACCCACGAAAATTGGTGTCCAACCAATAATAATGAATCCACAGGAATATTATTGCTTGACACATTATTAGAAACAGTTTTTTTAGTCCTGCATGAATAGATTACTTTAGCCTGTTGTTTTTTATGCCTTCAAACCCTTCTTTGATCCAAACAATTGTCCGAAATAACACTGCATGATTACTTAGAATCAATATCAAAACAAGCTTTTAACAAGGTTTATTGTATCTTCAATATTTTTGAATCATTTATAATAATGAAAAATTATGCCTAGAAAGCTATATAAATAAATAAATGGTTCTTATCAATGAAGTTTTAATTTTTTGAAAGGGAATCTAGGAGGAGAGACAAGCTTATTTTGAAAGCTTTTACTTGTGTGTATAATACACATAAGGACACAAAATTAGTGGCTACAAGGAATGTTTACCATAGGTTATAATTCAACACAGGCACTTGTCTCTGAATTTTTTTCATATATATATATATAGCATTTGTGCCTATAACATTAAGCATGTTAAGGTATATGATTTTTTTTCAGACACAAATGCTTGTGGTATTCATTATGATATACAGACTTATTACATTGGTAGCAATGAATTACATTGATTTCCCAGTTAAATAAAAACCGATAATTTCACATGTGAAATAAACGTGGTTATTTCACTCTCTGACGTCATACAACAATAGGCGTTGTCAAGACGTCGATAACGTCGGATCAAAACAAATTGTGAATGCGTAGAAAAAAGATATAGTTCCTTACATTTTCTACATTAATTTCATTAAAAAAGCCATTTGCCAATGTAATAAAAAGAATAACTAATCAAAGAATTCAAATATCGAAAAATATTCAACTCGTGACCGAACAACACTGATAATTAACTCATGCGCTACGCGCATTCGTGAATTAATGTGTTGTTCGGTCACTCGTTGAATATTTTTCTCTATTTGAATTGTTCGATTAGTTATTCTATAATTAATCTGAATTTAAGTTAAAAAAAAAAGATAAACATACATAGCTTTTTTATTACAGTAGATCAAAATGAAAGGACAAAAAGTCATAATGACTGAAGAAAGGCATGATACAGTTTTAGGTACTAGATCACCTAACCGTTTGTAATATATATACATGTTCATATAGATGCACATTTATATATGGTGTGAAACAGCTTTTATCACATGCTTCAAGTTATTCACATGTTCTAACCATTCTATCACAATTACAGTTCTATTTCTAATTTTTGCTTTTGTAATTGCTTACATATGCATTTAGCACTGCTTTATAACTGGGACATAATATAGTCCTAGTGTATACCAACTTCAGCAGTTTTTAACGTGCTAGTTCACAAGATAACAGTCTCAAGAAGTACTTAACCAATTCCTGATAAGTTCATATGCTGATAACTGTTTTTGGAGTATACTATTTTGAAATGTATACTTTAAACAAAAAATATTTTTATAACAGGTATCCATTTTAATGTTTTATTTTTACTTTTGGTAGATTGAACTAAATGATTGTTAATTTGACAATGTTTACATCTTTATTGTATATGAGGGCCTCAGGGAAGATAAGTTGTTGAAACTATCTATGCTACCATCTTTAAAAAAAGAATTTATAACTATTATTATTATTATTATTATTATAACAATTACTTGGGGCAATTATCTCAGAAATAGGCAACATTAGTCATTGTTTGAAAAGATTAAAATTGATGTATCAAATTACATTACTACTCCACATTAGGTATTGTATGAAGATATATTATAGTTAATTTCTCACTTCTAAGGACTGCACTCTCTTGAAGAGGTCTAAGTTACTTTAAAGTGTGAAATCAACTGCATACAAGTTCTGTTCTAAAATGGTAGGTATAGGACAAGTAGACTTATTGGAATCTGATTTTCTTTTTTGAAGTTGCAGTTTGCTATAAATAATAAGTTTTTCTTCTTCCATATACTGTAAATTCAGAAATTATTGAAAGGTTTTTATTAGAGTAAATAATGCGACTGAGTGGGTATCGCAGTAATAAGAACTGGAATTCTTATATCTGACACATATATCTGTATGCAGATTTTCCTGAAATAGCAATAATTAATCTTACATTTTTGTCCATTCTTCTAATATCGCAATAATAAATGCACACAAAAATTTCTGAATTTACAGTAAAAGCTGGGTTTCTGTTGACACAAAGCTCTTTGAAACTTTGTGTGAACAGTTATAACTAGAACTTTTTGCAATAAAACAGATATATTCTGCAGATAAAACTATAAATATGCACATTCAGTCATTACTCATATATACTTGAGTGTCAAACGAAAATTGTGTGACTTATTCCATTATTGTTGTATGCTGCCTTAGCACAAAAGACTTTATTGCAGCAAGGGTAATTAGATATATTCAACTTGACTTGCCAAGTTTTCTGTTCCGTCCTATCCTGGCTCCCTATCGATCTTTTCCTACAGTTTCCATTTGGCTAGGAAATAAACTCTTGAGTAGCAACTGAGTAAGAGTTAAGCAAAATCTGGAGCCATAATCTCATTTTCTTGAATCTTATAAGAATTTTTTTTCAATATTCAACAAAATAGGAGATAAATATAATAGATATGGGTTGGCTGCCCTTTTTTGATTGATAGGGAAAGAAAAATCAAAAGCTCAGATTTAAGGTATACAAAACAAACAATATTGAAAGCTTTTGATATTACTAATTATTGACAAGATATACATGCATCTGAAAATAATTCAATTTAATTGACTCAAATGTATAACATGTTAGCCTAAATTTCATTGGACAATGTTGGAAAACAGAAAAAAATAACATTGATAAATTCCATTCTGTGAGTATTAAAATTCTTATGCCGACAAAACATTTCTATAAATATTCATTTATTTTGTTATGAAATATTTTTTAGAGCATTTAATTGGAATTCAAATTGATAGAGGTCATTATATCATTTTGATTGGAAAACTTGGTCCACTGAATGATAAACTGAATAAAGTCAGATTGATGCGTAAACTTGGCATAATCACTCACAAAATTAATTCATGTAAATTTGGCCTATTCTCTCTAATAAACAGAATAAATTCAGAAGAATTTTGTCTTTCTCTTCAGTTTGTGAGTGAGAAAGCGCAGTTTAAACATCAATGAATTTCTTTAATAATCTGTATTAATTGTTGTAATTAAAATATGTTTAAAGTAGGGTTGTCCAGATGTGACAGTTGCACATGTTACAAAACATTTAGTATTACATTTTACTGATGTTCAATTTTAAAATTCAATCAAAAACAGATGTGATATATTGAACCAATATTTTATTGTTTAATACATATAAAATTATATCTGTACAAAACTTTTTCAAAAGGTTTTTTTTTAAGGATGAAAATTAAAACACCATATATATGTAAGCTTAAAAAAAGTTAGGGTGTACAATTTCTTTCAAAAATGCCTTGAGAAAAGAACATATGGTGCATAGTGTACTAGAATTATTCAAAGCAGTTAATAGAAACCAGTGAAAAAAAATTTCTGAAATGTATATAAAAAACGCAAAACATGCTTTACCCATTTTGAAAATGCTGTTTTTCAGATGTTGTACAGGTTCAAGGTATGGCTAAAACTTTTAGGACCAGTACCATATGTTTTGCCAGCAGCCGTGTACCTGGTAATGTTAGTTTTCTGTAAGTAGGCTTTTAATGTGTTTAGAGGTGGAAGATACCAAAGGGATATTCAAACTTATATAAGTTGAAAATGAACTGACAATGACATAGCAAAAAATACCAAAAGACTAAAAACAGTCTACATAACACATCATAGAAAACTAAAGACTGAGCAACACAAAACCCACAAAAAACCAGAGGGTGGTCTCAGGTACTCTTAAATGTTAGGCAGATCCTGCTCTATATGTGTCACCCGATGTGTGGCTTTAGCAAAATTTAAATGTACTAATTTTTGCTAACTAGATATAAGAAGATGTGGTATGAGTGCCAATGAGATAACTCTCCATCCAAGTCACAATTTGTAAAAGTAAACCATTATAGGTCAAAGTACGGCCTTCAACACTGTCACCATTTCATCTCAGTGATTGCAATGTACCAATTTAAGCAAATGTCATTATTTTGTCTCAGTGTTTGCAATATAACAAATTCGGTAAAAGTTGTTATTTTGTCTCAGCGGTTACAATGTAACAATTTAAGTAAAAAGTTGTTATTTTGTCTCAGTGCTTGCAATGTAATAAATTAAGTAAAAGTTGTTATTTTCTCTCAGTGGTTTCAATGTAACAATTTAAGTTAAAGTTGTTATTTTGTCTCAGTGGTTGCAATGTAACAATTTAAGTAAAAGTTATTTTGTCTTAGTGGTTGCAATGTAACAATTTCAGAAGAATTTGTTATTTTGTCTCAGTGGTTGCAATGTAACAATTTCAGAAAAAGTTGTTATTTTGTCTCCGTGGTTGCAATGTAACAATTTAAGCTAATTATCGTCATCTAGTCTTAGTTATTCCACTGTACTTAATTTAACTTCATTGGCTTATTTTCATTGTCTTTATTTTTCTAAATGATTCAAATGTACTAATTTAAGCTCATTGCCATTATTTTGTCTCTGTGAATCCAATGTCCCAATTTAAGCTAATTATCATAAGTCTGTCTCGGCGATTCCAAAGTAGCAATTTAAACTACTTGTCATTAGTTTTTCTCAGTGATTCAAATGTACCAATGAAAGGTCTTAAGGATGATAAAAAAGATAGTATAATCTTATTCTGATATATATATTTTGGTTCAAAAGTCTGTATGAAAAAACATCTTTTCACATTAACTAGTAGCTTTCAATATAGTTCCATTTTTGTCGAGCCTTCGACTTCTGTCGAAAAAGCGAGACATAGCGATCCTACATTCCGTCGTCGTTGTTGTCGTCGGCGGCGTCCACAAATATTCACTCTGTGGTTAAAGTTTTTGAAATTTTAATAACTTTCTTAAACTATCCTGGATTTCTACCAAACTTGGACAGAGGCTTGTTTATGATCATAAGATAGTATCCAGAAGTAAATTTTGTAAAAAAAAAAATCCTGTTTTTCCGTATTTAACTTATAAATGGACTTAGTTTTTCTGCCAGTTAACATTACATTCACTCTGTGGTTAATGTTTTTAAAATTTTAATAACTTTCTTAAACTATCCAGGAATTTTACCAAACTTGGACAGAAGCTTGTTTTTGATCAAAAGCTAGTATCTAGAAGGAAATTTTGTAAAAATTTATTTCATGTTTTTCTGTATATTACTTATAAATGGACTTAGTTTTTCTTCCAGTTAACATTACATACAGTCTGCAGATAAAGTTTTTAAAACATTTATTAGATTCATAAACCATCCTGGATTTTTACCAAACTTGGACAAAAGCTTCTTACAATCAAAAGATAGTATCAAGAGGAAAATTTTTAATAATTTTTCCCCATTTTTGTTTACATAGCGATCCTACATTCTGTCGTCTCCTGAATTAAGGGATAAATCATCAAACAATGTAAAAATTATCTTCTTTACCATTTGTTCATTCAATAAATTTATGTTTCAACTCTTTTATAAATCTATAGATTTGATTGCATACTGTATTCATTTTTAGGAGCATAACTTTTTTCATACATTTCAAACGTTTTATTTCATTAACTGTAAATCTATTATGTGCATTCCCCTATCACACTGAAAACATAGATAACAGCAAAAGTAGGCGAGACACTGGGTTCCACGGAACCCTTACGAATTTTTTATATCATTACTGCATGTACCTTAATTTCACATTAAAAAAAATTATTTATAAATTCAGAATAAAATTCCTACACAAAAAAAAAACACAATGAATTATATTTTCTTGTGTATATTGCTACATTTGCTTGTGTATACAGCTATATTTTCTTGAGTATAAAGCTATATTTTCTAGTGTATGTTTCTTCACAGATTGTTACCAAGATTATATATTAACAGATGGATGGTCTGATGTCAACTGTAAGGTATGATCAGAAAGGTCAAAGTTTATGCAATTAATTACTTTGGATTCATTTATTTTTATGGGTACCAAGTTTGGTGGTATATTTTCGTTGGTACTTGATTTCGTGGTTTTACCAAAGTTTGCGTATAATCCTATGAGGAACTTATACTTTGTTGAACAGTTAAATTTGTGGTTCATCCATATCCACAAAATCCATAAAAATTGGTAACCAACAAATAATAATGAATCCACTGTACAAATTGCTGATAGTATAACGTTTCAATATTTTTTAAGTGAAGTTTCATGTAGTCGCAGTTAAGCCTCAATGTTACTGTAAAAAGCTGGATAAAAACATCGCTTTGTCTTAAATTCATGCAAATAAGAGTCATACCTCAAGATAAATATTTATATTTGTTTTAAAACTTTGACCAGTTTATGATATTTATATCCTAGTTGTAAAAGTGTTTTAGTTAATAATTATTTTGTTCAATGAATTCTAATACGACACTGTAAACAAGGGCATATACAACTGAGAAACATACACTCAATAAAAAGGAGCCAACAGAACATCAGCATGAATCATAGGGAAGGAAAATGGACAGGGTGGGATAAGAGCCTTATTTGGCCTATATTTTTACTGAACTTTGAACTTTATATTTAAGGTTTCCATTTATGTCTGTTTTACAATGAAAAAAACAGGAAGGATGACAATAAATACAGTTGTGATGTCATGGAAAATTCCCTTTTCATATTTTCATGAAAAATATATAGATTTTGGTCAAACAACAAAACAATTTAACACTGTGAATTTTGTGGTTCTTACAAATATGTGTGAAAATCTGCAATTATTAAATTTTTTTTTGTAGAAAAATTGGAATTATGCTAACTTTCAACCATAAAATCTCAATGAATATTTGTAATATTCAATAGATTCTACAGTTTATCCTGTTCACATACTAACAATTATCTTTAAACCAAGGTTACTTGATTGTGTAATACTTCATTATTAGTCCCCTACTGACGAAGTCGAAGGGGACTTTAGGTTTGCACTCTGTCTGTCTGTCTGTCTGTCTGTCTGTCTGTCTGTCTGTCTGTCTGTCTGTCTGTCAGTCCGGCAAATCAGTTTTCCAAACATTTTTTCTTCGTGCTTGAAGATATTGATTTGATATTTGGTTTATTGATTTATCATGACAAGTTACAGGTCAAGTTCAATTTTCACGATTTTAGCTTTTCTCTTTGTTCAGTTAAAGCCCTTTCCCTAGAATTAAATTTTTTATGAAATACATATTAATTAGTAGATTTCTGTTCAAAGGGAAATAACTCATTTTTTAAAAGACTTTTAAAAGACAAAATGACATTTTGGTTTTTTTCCTTTTCTTTGGTAAATTGTTTGAAGAATTTAGTGGTAGGTTTGTTTGTCATTCTTGAAGATATTAATTTGATAATTAGTATATAGTTTTATCATGACAAGTTACAAATTTTTAAGGCCAAAATGCAACCTTAGCTTGTCACCTTATCACCTTATCATAAATTTTGGTATGAAGGTACCATGAGAAATTCTTATATCAACTTTTTAAAAAGGACATTGGTCACTGACTATTATAAGATTTAGTAAGATAAGAGTGAGTTGAGGTTGAGAAATTTCATTTTTATAAAGAAAAATCTGGATTTTTTACACAAAATGTCTGCAGGATTTTTAAATACATGTACATCTATCTAGACTGACAGGGTGTTTTGTTGACTTTATGAAGTCAATATACTGTTACTGTACATGTATGTTGATATTACCTGGTATTACTCTTTGTTACTGTACATGTATGTTGATATTACCTGGTATTACTCTTTGTTACTGTACATGTATGTTGATATTACCTGGTATTTCTCTTTGTTTTCAGGAGCCTGTACCTCCAAATCTGTTGGAAGGATCAGAGGAGTATTCAAGTCGAAATCAAAGCAATGAAATAACATTTGTCACAGCTTATTTTAATCTTGGAAAATTCAGAAAAGGTCCTTTCAAAACATTCAGTACCCAAACATATTACAGCTGGATGAAGAATTACGCATTTGTGTACAACGATATTATTCTTTACACTGATTTAGAAGATTTAGCGATTAAATTTAAATCAGAACGATCTCATTTTCCAGATCATATGACCAGAATATTTTTAGTAAAGCAAAATGAATTTTGGGCATTTTGGTTAAAACCAAGTATAGAGAAAATTTACAATCAAACAGACTATCCGAAATGGTATCCAAATACAGTCATGGCTTCATATTCATGTGCCATGCATGTAAAGTATGATCTTATTAAGAGGGTGATAAAGGAAAAATTAGTAAAAACTAAATATTTAGCATGGATGGATATAGGTTATTTTAGAGGCAATGAAAAAGGTACTTTTTCATTAAAACCTCCGCAAAATATCAAAGACGATCATATAGCATTTGTACAGATTGATAAATACGTTGATATGACACCAAAACAAATCATGTTTAGTAATAGTGTATTTTTAGCAGGTGGATTATTCATCGGTAGACCTGAGTATTTACTTTTTATGGTTGAAGATTATAAAAAAGCAGTTGAAGGATTGATTGCAATGAATATTATGAACACGGACCAGCAGGTGCTTTACTGTATGTACTCGCCAAAATCTCCATTCCAACCTAGAGTACCGATTCAGAGATATTACAGCCAGAGTCGTTTGTTATGGTTCTATCTTGGTGACCTCTGTAGAGAAAATAGTTTATTTTCAGTGAGAAAAAAGACAAAATTAAGTGAATTTATAGCAAGTAGTATATTTTTGTGATGTAAGACTTTTGATAATGACATTGTTAAATTTTGTTTAATCTATATATTTAGGAATTTGCTGTTTCAGTACAAAAAACTTTTTTTTGTGATACATTTAATAGGTTGAATACTGGCAATGAATATTCAGCCAATAATGGAAGGCAGAGTACTAACAATGGTTTTTGGGGGTAAAAATCGCAATCATGCAATCAAAACCCGTATGTGGCTGGATTGATAATTATCAATTTTCCAGACCTCTCTTACTTTTGAGATAAAAATACATTCTATACATCTTATCCATGAACATTTCAAGATATCTATCAATGTAGTATATAATCAGATATTCAAGTTACAAAATAATGTGTATGTGTATAACCATAATTGTCAAAAAAAATTACATAAATTGTGCATGAATCTGGAATCTGTTCTAAAAATATCAATGAAGTCATTGTTAAAGTAATATTTAAAATCTGACTTATCTTTATTTGTCCATAATTGTAGTTGTAGAATCTACTACAATTATGGACAAAGGAGGATATCTCCAATTCATAATATTGGTTTCCAATGCTTGATACAATGCAATGTTTAATTTTTAATTCCCACTTCAAAATGAATCTTTACCCTGCAGTGCTCACAAGCAATTTGATTTAGTTTTGCTCACAGTATATATGTACGTTCTACTGATTATTTTATTGTATTTGTTGATTCAAATATCTTAGGTCTGTCAACAATTTTTTTTGGTTATTTATTATTTTTATGGATATGTGTTTTATTCATTTGTGTTGTGGATATGTGTTTTATTGATTTGTGTTAGGGATATATATGTTTTATTGATTTGTTTTATGGATATGTGTTTTATTGATTTGTGTTATGGATATGTGTTTTATTGATTTGTGGATATGTGTTTTATTGATTTGTGTTATGGATATGTGTTTTATTGATTTGTGGATATGTGTTTTATTGATTTGTGTTATGGATATGTGTTTTATTGATTTGTTTTATGGATATGTGTTTTATTGATTTGTGTTATGGATATGTGTTTTATTGATTTGTGGATATGTGTTTTATTGATTTGTTTTATGGATATGTGTTTTATTGATTTGTGTTATGGATATGTGTTTTATTGATTTGTTTTATGGATATGTGTTTTATTGATTTGTGTTATGGATATGTGTTTTATTTATTTGTGTTATTGATATGTGTTTTATTTTTGTTGTTGTTTATTTTGTCAGGTAAACTACAAGTTCCTAACTTCCAATGGAAATGATCAATTATCTACTTATAATTGATCAACTTTTGTGTTTTTTATCATAACTGTTGTGATAATAATGTTATATTCTTCAGGTTTCATTTATTATCAAACCCATAACTACTTAGGTATGACCATCCAATGACACATTGTGGCCATCCATTGGCTTGGGTCAGATCAAGTAACCATTCATCCGTAACACCCACTAATTGTGCTGTTTTACGCTTTATTTTTGAAGTTTTACTATACATGTTTTAAAATATTTTTTTTAAAAATATAATTTATATAGCCAGACTTAAAGTATTTAAATGAAGTAATACTTCGGTAATAGATCGGTAAATCTCCATGTGGATTTCCATGACCTCCTACAATAGAGAACCCTAATCCAGCTGGTCCCCTGTTCAATGTTATAGTCTTGTACTGAGGTGGAGCTCTGTAAACAAAAGTATACACTTTAAATATTTGAAACAGGGTAACTTTTATTCAAAGTTCTGCAAAAGCAAAGTAACACTTATTTATTGGAGTAAAATGTATTTATAGTGAAAAATGTATCTGTTAACATAACAAACATAATCCAAAAGTCACTAAGCACATTGTTTTATCCAGTTCTTCTTTACAGATGGTTGCATATAAAGTATTTAATTGTAATAATAGAAAATGTCTGTTAAAGTCTTCCCCAATTATATAGATTTACTTCAATTATAAGTTGAGTGACTTCCCCTTAATCATTTCTTAGATGTAAAAAGATACATATTCCTATTTTGCCTGAGAAGGTGTTGTTGCTAAATATAGCCAGTTAATATAAACATGTATATATTTTTAATGGGATATAGTGAAATATTGTTAAAGTTGTAATGCCAAAATATTATTGTTACTGTTATATAAAATATACTTCAGAGAAATTATTTAGAATAGGTAATAACCTGGTACCTTGTTATTTTGTTAAAGAATCAGTTGTCATTTTGATGTTGTGAGACTTCAGTATTTATTCTTGCCAATAAATAACAAGTAAATTATTTTAATTTGTAACTCTAAAGGAGGAGGTATGTGACTTTGACATTTATTCTGCCAATAAATAACAAGTAAATTATTTTAATTTGTAACTCTAGCGGCGGTGGATATTGACTTAGACATTTATTTTTGCTAATAAACAACAAGTAAATTATTTTAATTTGTAACTCTAACGGAGGAGGTATGTGACTTTGACATTTATTCTGCCAATAAATAAAAATTAAATTATTTTAATTTGTAACTCTAGCGGAGGAGGTATGTGACTTTGACATTTATTCTTACCAATAAATAACAAGTAAATTATTTTAATTTGTAACTCTAATGGAGAAGGTATGTGACTTTGACATTTATTCTTGCCAATAAATAACAAGTAAATTATTTTAATTTGTAACTCTAACGGAGGAGGTATGTGACTTTGACATTTATTCTGCCAATAAATAACAAGTAAATTATTTTAATTTGATACTCTAGCGGAGGAGGTATGTGACTTAGACATTTATTTTTGCTAATAAATAACAAGTAAATTATTTTAATTTGTAACTCTAACGGAGGAGGTATGTGACTTTGACATTTATTCTTGCCAATAAATAACAAGTAAATTATTTTAATTTGTAACTCTAATGGAGGAGGTATGTGACTTTGACATTTATTCTTGTCAATAAATAACAAGTAAATTATTTTAATTTGTAACTCTAATGGAGGAGGTATGTGACTATGACATTTATTCTTGCCAATAAATAACGAGTAAATTATTTTAATTTGTAACTCTAACGGATGAGGTATGTGACTTTGACATTTATTTATGCTAATAAATAACAAGTAAATTATTTTAATTTGTAACTCTAACGGAGGAGGTATGTGACTTTGACATTTATTCTTGCCAATAAATAACAAGTAAATTATTTTAATTTGTAACTCTAATGGAGGAGGTATGTGACTTTGACATTTATTCTTGTCAATAAATAACAAGTAAATTATTTTAATTTGTAACTCTAATGGAGGAGGTATGTGACTATGACATTTATTCTTGCCAATAAATAACAAGTAAATTATTTTAATTTGTAACTCTTAACGGATGAGGTATGTGACTTTGACATTTATTCTGCCAATAAATAACAAGTAAATTATTTTAATTTGTAACTCTAGTGGAGGAGGTATGTGACTTTGACATTTATTCTTGCCAATAAATAACAAGTAAATTATTTTAATTTGTAACTCTAATGGAGGAGGTATGTGACTTTGACATTTATTCTTGCCAATAAATAACAAGTAAATTATTTTAATTTGTAACTCTAGCGGAGGAGGTATGTGACTTTGACATTTATTCTTGCCAATAAATAACAAGTAAATTATTTTAATTTGTAACTCTAACGGAGGAGGTATGTGACTATGACATTTATTCTTGCCAATAAATAACAAGTAAATTATTTTAATTTGTAACTCTAATGGATGAGGTATGTGACTTTGACATTTATTCTGCCAATAAATAACAAGTAAATTATTCTAATTTGTAACTCTAGCGGAGGAGGTATGTGACTTTGACATTTATTCTTGCCAATAAATAACAAGTAAATTATTTTAATTTGTAACTCTAACGGAGGAGGTATGTGACTTCGACATTAATTCTTGCTAATAAATAACAAGTAAATTATTTTAATTTGTAACTTTAACGGAGGAGGTATGATAAATTGCAAAAAATTCTTCAAACTTTCAAAAACTACTTGGCATGTTAATTTTACTGATACATGTATAGGATAATATTATCTGTACGCTTCAGTTTAGAAAATTCATTTGTGATGTCACTGACTTCACCAACATGCTAAGATTGATCTAAAAGGGTCATTTGATGATTTTACACACACAATGTAGTGTTTGATAAATTTAGCTGTGAGCCAAGGCCTTACCCAAAAAGGTATATGAAGTTTAAAGCCCTAATTAAAAGTAGATATGTAAAGCACAATTAAAAAATGTTATCACTGATATCTGACAGACAAACGTCTTGTGAACATCTGAAGCATATCAATTGATAGATTTATAATCCTTCTTAATTTTCAATTCAAGGACCAATGAAGTAGCCTTATCAAACTTTCTCCTTTGTATTTTTTATGCCCCCGGCGTAGCGGTGGGGGCATTAAGTTTTACCCTTGTCCGTCTGTATGTACGTATGTACGTACGTCTGTCCGTACGTCCCAAAATTGGTTTCCGTTCTCTTAACTTGAGTTTGCCACAACCAAATGTTATGAAACTTATACACAATGCTTATTACCACAAAACACAGATCAAGTTTGAATTTTGGTGGCGTTACTTTAACCGTTCTAGAGTTATGCCCCTTTAAAAATGAAAAAATTGCAAAATTTTTAGTTTCCGTTCTCTAACTTAGGTTTGCCTCAACCAAATGTTATGAAACTTATACACAATGCTTATTACCACAAAACACAGATCAAGTTTGAATTTTGGTGGTGTCACTTTAACTGTTCTAGAGTTATGCCCCTTTATAAATGGAAAAATTGCAGAATTTTTATTTTCTTCTAAATATCAAGTAATTATTAAAATTGGAGTTATCTTCCTTTGTCCATGATTATAGTTGAATCAACTACAATCAATGCTTTATACAATGCAATGTTTAATTTTGACTTCCACTGATAAAACGCAGATCAAGTTGAATTTGGGTAGTGTCACTTTAACCATTATTGAGTTATGCCCCTTTATAAATCGAAAGATGCAAAATTTTTAGTTTCCATTCTGTAACTTAAGTTTGCCCCAACCAAACATTATGAAACCTATACACAATATTCATTACTACATAATACAGATTAAGTACGAAATTTGGTGGTGTCACTTTTACCATTCTTGAGTCATGTCCCTTTATAAACATAAAAATTGCTGAATTTTTTAGTTTGTCTCAACCAAATGTTATAAAACTTATACACAACCGTTCTAGAGTTATGCGTGTTTACAAATAGAAAAATTGCTGAATTTTTAGTTTCTGTTCTCTACTGAAGTTAGCCTCAACCAAATGTTATGAGACCTACACACAATGCTTATTACCACAAAACTGAGATCAATTTAAATTTGGGTAGCGTCACTTTTACCGTTCTTCAGTTATGTCCCTTTATAACTATATGATATGCAAGTGGGGGCATCATCTGTGTCCACACGTGGACACTATGCACATTTATTTTTTAATCAAATTTTAAATAATAAATGGCTTTTCCAGATAAAATAATGTTAATACATTTATTAGAAAACTGTATTGTTCCAATAATACACAATTCAAGATATTATCATTGGTCACTCTATTAGACATGAAAATGTTATTGAATATGTTGGATTTATTGTTTGCTCAAGATGAAAAATAAGTAAAGATTAGTATGTAGTTCTAGCATAGTTTAATATGACCTGCTACCTTGGGGGGTTTTGGTAGGTGACCTTACGACAACAAAACAACCACTACTTTTCAAATTCATAATTTTATTTCTTGAAAGGCCCTTAGTTTCTAATAATTTATTTCAATAATGAATTACAAAATTTTTAGTTGGTAAAGATAACATATTTTTTCATGTTTATCTTCATTTTAAATACTCATTGCTGAATTTTAAAAGTTTTATGGTATGAATTTTGCATATAAATTTAACTGTATTTCATATAATAGAAAAAGTATGTGTGTATTTCAATTTAATGCTGTTTTATTAGTCTCCTACCGACGAAGTCGAAGGGACTGTAGGTTTGCATTCTGTCCCTCTGTTTGTCTGTCCATCCGTCAGTCCAGCAAATCAGTTTTCCACACTTTTTTTCTTCATGTTTGAAGATATTGATTTGATATTTGGTGTATTGTTTTATCATGACAAGTTACAGATCAAGTTCAAATTTTGTTCCGGTCTGATGATTTTGTGCAGAGTTATGGTCCTTTGACTTAGAAAATTCACTAAAATAATCAGATTCCACACTTTTTTTTGTCATTCTTGAAGATATTGATTTGATAATTGGTATATGATTTTATCATGACACGTTACAGTTCAAGTTTGAATTTTGTTCAGGTCTGATGATTTTGTGCAGAGTTATGGTCCATGGACTTAGAAAATTCACTCAAATAATCAGTTTTCCGCACTTTTTTTCATCATGCTTGAAGATATTGATTTGAAAATTGGTATATAGTTTTATCATGACAAGTTACAGATCATGTTTGATTTTGTTCCGGTCTGAGAATTTTGTGCAGAGTTATGGTCATTTGGACTTAGAAAATTCACTTAAATAATCAGTTTTCAACACTTTTTTTTGTCATGCTTGAAGATATTGACTTGATATTTGTTATATAGTTAACACCATGACAAGTTATAGATCAAGTTAGAATTTTGTTCCAATACAATGAATTTTTAACCGGTAGGGGACTATGTATTGCCATTCAATACTCACAGAATGCTTGTTGTATTTCATATTTGTATTTGTATTTAATTTATGTATGTTTGTATTTCAGTTTAATACTATTTTACTGTATGGGTTCAGATTTCCGCTGCTTTTTTTCTAATTGGTTGCCAATTAGAAACTGGGTGCAATTTGGGTACTGTGATGTTACAGGTCTGTTTTTTTGTGGTTAAAAACATATATGATAAAGTATATTTTTTTTAATATTCTATAATATGAAAAGGGTTGTGTACAGAATATATCAGATGATCACCCCTACCACATAGGGATTGAAGTGGCCCCAGAGAAGGGAGCCCAATTATTTCCCCCATTAGTTCAATGCAATGTTATCATAATTGAAGGGCAGACTTTTTATTCCCTATATGTTACTGCCAAATTTAAACTGCTTTCTCATACTTGTAGTCCCCTTCATGGTTTCTGGGAAAATCCTTGTAGGGTGATTACCAACATTTAAAAACACAATACTTTTTGAGTATTAATAGGGTCATTTTATTCACTTCCTGCTTTAAAAAAAAAACATCAATGAAATATGGACCATTTACTCAGTCAATCATCCACCATATACTTTTCAGAATCACACAAAATTTCAAAGAAGTTGAACAGATTTAAGTACTTTAATTTTCATACTGGTACAATATCCCATTGAAAAGATGGTTGTTGAGGGACCTACTGTACTGGTATCCTGTCAACTGGAATCCTATTCCTATAAGGTTAAGCAGTAACTGGCTTCAATTCAATTATCATGTTTTAAAATTTGAGATGCTTTTTATTGGGAAGCTGTATGAGAATGAGAAGATTTAAGTGATTGTTCAAACTGTTATAAGAGTAGAATTATTACTGAACTTATTTTTTTTTTAAATGTAGTTATTAATCTGGTGCTAAGTAAGTTTGTGCAAAATGATCCTTGGTGATTGTAGTTATATACCAGGGTAATTGTTTCCATAGTTACAATGAGTGTTGTTTTACATAATTGCATTTTATACATGTAAAAATTGTTGCATGCTTTTTTGTTATATTTTTGTTAGTTTTTTATTTTATTATATCTAGATAATTCCTATATACCTAGTTCATTTCTGTTAAAATAATATTCAGACGTGCTCAGTTTTAATGTGATACACAGTAAGCTGGGATAGATAACTATTTTAGGGGATATTTTGAACTTTTGACATAAACAAGTTTGGTATGTTTAAATCTAAAAATTTTAATATGTGAAATAAAAAATTTAGCAAATTTAGATTAAACACCATTTTAAAGAAAATGAAACTTGAAAAAAATCTCTTCTTTCTCTTTGTCCATCCGTATGTTTGCACAAATTAGTAAAAGGATCTGTATGATAAAAATATTGTTTTTCAACAAAAAAACATTCCAAAATAAGATCTATCCCTTTAAACAGTTTGTAGATAAAAACAGTATTTTAAGAAATGACATTTTTAGCCTTTTTCAAATTTTTGTTTAAACAGTATAGATCACTGAAAATTAGTATATTGTCTACATATAAGTCTGTTATATAAATTGCCAATTTTTTAGTACCATAAAAGCATTAAAGTACAAAAAGTATGTAATTAGTGTTATTGGTTAAGAATAAACAGTCTAGTCTAAAACATTTCTGTATAATAATAAAGTTCTAGGAAGTACATGTGTTTTTTTCTTTAAATGTGTACCTGTAACTTGATAATTATCAGACAAGTTTTACTTTATGACATCACTTGATGTTAAACAGTCAATATATATTTCTTTCTCATGATGAAATCTGTGTAGAAAAAAAGAGAGGAAGATACCAAGAGGCAGTAAAAAATTATCCGTCAAAGAATACCCTAGTTAAAAAGAAAAGCCACAAAAAAAAAAAGTATAAAAAACATTACAAAGAAAACTAAGGACTGAGCAATACAAACTACAACAACAAGTAAAAACAGGATGATCTCAGATGCTCCGGGAGGGTAAGCAGAACCTGCTCCACTAGTGGCACCCGTCATGTTGCTCTATCCTTGAGCTTAAGGGCATACGATACAGTAGCAGGGGCAGATAATAACGTTTTCAAAACTTTTCGTGTTGTTTTCGCGACGTTGTTAATCAGAACGATGTAAATTCGTGATGTTTCTAATAAGAACGATAACATTTCGCGACGTTGCTTTAGATGTAGTCACATTTGCGGAAATCCACTGACGTCATAATCCCGATTGCACGAATTTGAAAAAAGTACCTGCAATGAAAATCGGCCAAATCACGAGAATTGTTATATTTATTCATAAAAAAGGAAGTCAACAATATTAACTTCGAATGGGAAAAAAATCAAATCCACATTCTTAATTTTGTATGTTAGTTATTTCATATAGGAAATGAATAAGAGATATGAAAAACATAAGACGTCCATGAGAGAGAAACCCAACTACACAACAAAAACATAAGTAATTTATATATAGCAACTTCACCATTTGGCTAACTCTAAATTATAATGAGAATTGTACGGATAAATTTAACAGAGACTATCAACAAAATGACAAAAAAACGTAATAAATCATGACAGCGCAACTTACTGTTTCTGACTTTGAAAAGTTACATTAAAGAGTTAACGGCATTTTTAGAATTTAACCCGTGGAATATATAAGTGTATGAAGAAGAATTGTCAATTAAAATGACTCAGTTATAAGCCCCGTATTATAGACCAAAAACAAAAACGCACCCGTTGATGTGCTAAGCATATCCTCTATGTACATATTGAGAGAGAAAAATCAGCACACAGGAATTAGGTATTTGACAGACCAGAGTTGCAACTCATTGATGTTAAGTTACTGACCAAATACAAAGTCTTTTTGTAAAGTAGTTTCTCAGATAAGAAACAAAATATTTGTTGGACCGGACAAACAATGTGGTTGCACTCACTCCTAGATTGAAGGTATAATACAGACAAGTAATTCAATGATTATATGTACCGTAATAAAAAAAATATCCTGAAGACAAGCTTAGGTAACTAATCTATTGATACAGAATCATTAAATTTCATGCTCTAATATCGACTGCTGTATGAAATGTTATACTACAATGTAATGGACTAAGCTGACCCGATTTAATGTGGGTATGATTTTGTGTTCATGTAATGCCTATAGAGTTGGTCGTTAGTTTTCTTGTTTGAATTATTTCACATTTTCATGTCTGGGCTTTTTAAAGCTGACTATACGTGTGGCTTTTTCTTTTTCTTTTTTTTTTTGTGTTGAAGGCCGTAGGGTGACCTTCAGTAGCGTTTATCTTCGTCATTTGAACTATGGTTGATAGTTGTCTCTTTTGCAATCATACCAAATGTCCTTATTTTTATATCATCCCCCTTACTTTATAATTAGTGCACATTTTGTCATGTCGGGGCCTTTTGAATAATTAAAACTATGTTCAAGCTGTGTTGTCTACATGAATTGTGTGACTAATGTCGGACAGAGATGCAAATTATTTTTTTTATTATATATATCTGTTTTGTTTCCGAACATTTCTTTTCTAAAGTAATTTACTAGAATACTAATTCTATCCAAGTTTGAATTTGTAACAATTCATTAAGGTTTGGCAAATATGATGCTATTTTACGAGGAGCCAGCTTTATTAATTTTCATGATTAATATCATAGGTTTAAAAAAAACACCTTGGCTCTACCACTGAAATTGACTACGTAGTAGTGAACGGCGGGAAAGATTTCACGACGTTGTTGCGAATAAAACTTATTTCAATTTAGTTAGTCGCCTTATTGGCAAACGTCCTGTTTAAAAATTAAGGTTTATTAATTGCTTTTATTGAAAAAACAAGCACATGGACCCCCAGTTTTTAAAGGCAGTGCTTTAATGCCTTTCTGGTTGCCGTGTTAATCTTTCTTTCCGCGATATCCAACTTATCTACTTGGGGGGGGGGGGGGGGGGGGGGGTCATTAGGCTCCAAGTAGATCCGGAAAATGTTGATTCTCTCCTCTTCTTATTGTGATATAAAATGTTTTTTGTTTCATTTCATTTACATTGGGAAATAGAGAAACGATCATTGTGTTTTGTTAGTTTTAAAAACTTTTGATATATTTGTATTTTACATTATAAGCAGTCAACCGATTGACAAACTAGAATTATTTGAATTCCGTGTGGAAAGAGGTCGGGTTAATTTCGAGTGTTATCTGCAATCTAGATGTTTATAAATCATTTCATTCGTTGATATAATAATTAAAGATCGACTGAACATGAATTATATAATACAATTTAAAGCGCATTTCTGTTTATGCACGCGAACCCGTCAAACGTTATTGTTATTTCGCAGTTATATAAAGTAGCAAATTATCGTTCCTGAATAGATGGCGCCGTGGTAGTCGATCCTTATCCTGGTTCCCGGTACTACGTTCCAGGTATTAGTATTATTAACTCGTGACAGAGTATGGCTATTAGCTAATACCTGGAACGTAGTGTCCTCCTCTTAAATGACATCCAGGTACACAACAACAAGTACTTGGCATCGTTAATTAAAAACGCAACTCTAATAGTTGCACAGTGCAGAAACCGGAAGTTGAAGAACAGGATCGACTAGACTGGTTCCCGATCGCAATATTCAGTATGTTACACATATACCAATATTGACATGCATTTGGGTTACACTAATGTCCTGACAATGTCCTGACAATGTCCTGACAAAGTCCTGACGGATATGAAAATGCTAATTACGTTTTCATTATTTAAAGGATTTACTTTAAATTTGGAACCAAGCAAGATGACAACATTAATTTATTAAATAAAAGAAAAAAATTAAAAAAAATATTTTTAAGAGTTAGAAAACTTGACCTGACCAACTTCGACTTTGAAATCACTAATGTCCTGACCGATATGAAACGGCTAAATACTTTTTTATTATTCACAGGATAGACTTCAAATTCGATATCAAGGAAGATTAAAACATTTAATCCAAAAATATAAGAAAAAAATGAAAAAAAAATAATTTTTAGAGTTAGAAAACTTGACCTGACCAATACGATTTTGCCGCGACTAATGTCCGGACCGATATAAAACTGCTAATTTCTTTTTTATCTTTGGAAGGATTAACTTCAAATTTAGTAGCAAGGAAGATTTCGACATTTAACAAAGAAATAAAAAGAAATGAAAAGAAAGCAAATATTCAAAAGACCAAAAAACTTGACCTGACCAACATAGGCTATTCACCAAAAAAAGACATGTTCGTTTAAAAAATAGAAAGACTATGTATATTTCTTAAATAAATGTCTTTAAGTTTGATAAATATCAATATTTTATTAAATATTTAAATGACAAAAAGAAAAAAATGTGAACAAGTATTGCAAGGGTAAAAATATATTGACCTGACATTGTCGAACTTGTCCTGATCAATTTTCTAACTGAAAGAAAATGTTAACCTCTTACCTTAAATTATTGAAATTGAAAATATCCGATCACAATGATATTACAACATTGAACGCAGAAAGATACTGTTGAAATGAAACGAAAGAGAAATATTAGAACCAGTTGCTGAATGTGAGTATTGTTTATGCATGTTAACTTTCTGTTATTGCTCTAATTGTTTATCTGATTAGGGGCTTGTTATGATTAGATTAATCACCTACTTGTTAATCCAATTAATTAATTATGAACGTGAACTGTGACCAGCTATTATTAAGACTGATAATTTATGATAAACAATACATTGGTATTTATGGGCTTCTACAAGCTTTGGTGATTGCTTTTTAAAAGTGAACATTAGTTACTTACAGTTATAAATATAATACATATTTTTAGTCTCTTTCAAAAGTTTTCATAGTGCTCTAATACATACAACCTCAGTGCTTTTTATTCGAATTGATATATTGCTTTAGTGCTATTTTTCTTTGTATATAAATCTCCTTGCTTTTGTTTAGTGTAATTAATTGTAGAAAATTGTAAATATATTTTTTGTGCTTTTGTTACATATTACTTGATTCAAATCATGTCTTCATTTCCAGTGCTGATTGCTGGCCATTCCCAGGCCAAGTATTTTAATCAATATTTATCTTTATCTGAAACTAATGTGCTTTCTTATTCAGGTTTTCGTATTGACCAGATGTTCAACGAACTGCAACCAACCATCGACAACTACAACACCGTGGTACTTCACGTTGGCGCCAACGACCTCTCCCGTGGTTCATCAGTAAAGACTCTACTCAGGAAATACCAACAACTGACATCAGACATTTGGCACAGCAACCCAACAGCAGACATCATCATATCTGGAGTCCTACCTAGAGCCGACAACCAATTCCCAGGGGCACTTCTGCGCACCAACTTCCTAACGGAACTCAACCAGAGAGCTCGGCTACTCAATACCAAACTACAGTTACTAGCTACCCGAGTTCCAAGACTCCACTACGTTGGTCACCCGTCATTCGCCCAGAAAGGTACTATCCAGAGACACCTACTCAGTCGAGATGGTCTTCATCTAAGCTACCGTGGTACATCAACTGTGGTGAAAGACATCGAGAGCGCCATTCGTCATCTACGCAAAACCAAGGATACTCATGACAGCATCTGGGAACTACCAACGTCAACACCAACGTCAACACCAACGCCAACACCAAAAGCACCTACACCAATGCCTGACCCAACTGAACCAGCTGTAGACCAATCACTGTACCGAACTG